TGAATCCTTCGGACCACAGATCGTATTACGGAGGCATTATTATTATTATTATTATTATTATTATTATTATTATTATCATTATTATTATTATAACAGGAAATATAACAGAATAAGGTGGACAAGAAAATATAGCAAGATAAGGCAGAACATAATATTAATAAAATAAAATGAAATAAGTCAATAGAGAGATTTGATAAGTTTAATGTTTACTGGTGAGGATAGATAGTAATCCCCGCTCCATCCTCCAGATTAATGGTGCGAATCTTAGCTCTGGTGCCTCTCACACATAGATTGGTGGCCCTTAATAAAGCAAATGAAAGTCTAGTGCATATCCAGTAAATGACTGTGCTGTATGGTCGATCCCACTTGATAGACAGTTTGTCAGCCATACGCTTTAAAAAGGTGTTTGTCCCTGGGCCCAGCAGACCATCCACTGTCATACATAGAGGAGTAAAGCTACAGTGGATTGAGTTGTAAGCTTCTCCATACTTGTTCTTCTTATCTCTCTGCTGTCTTCAAAACTTGTAGTGGTGGCTTCCCAGTATAAGAAGGAGCATCTGAGTCTACAACCCTCACATCAAAGATGGTAGTGGATTGTGACTGCCAGACTCCGCGTACTGAGATGTCTCCAATTAGTCCATCCAAACCATTCTGTGCTTCTTTAACCACTGGTTCCTTGATTACCTGGCTCCAGGCCAAAGAAGGCATATCATAAAGTAAATCTCTTATCTCATTATGTCTAATAGTCACCAAACCCCCTTTCTTACAGTCCAATGCATGAGAGGTGGTGAAAATATTACTGCAGCCATCACAACTTTGGGGTAGATTCAGTAAGGGTTTAGCATAACGTAGACACAGAGCGTCTCTAAATTCATTGCAGGATAAGTCAAAGTTGTCTTTCATAACAGGAAGAATGTTTAGCCAAGAGGATAGACAGTCCCTTGTACGTTTGACAGTTCTCTTATTGTTATCATTTAAGGAAGAGAGAGTGTGGGTGAAGGTGGAATTATCCACTTCCTTTTGAGATAGTGAGTGACTTTCCCTAGGAGAATGCACTTGGCAGATGTGATTGTATGATGAGAAAGGAGTAGCACCAGTAACAGCATTAATTAATAGCTTACAGGCCAATCTAGAAGTGGTGTAATGGGCAGCAGCTGTTGTAACAGGGTTCCTTATATTTAACCCTCCTAGTCTGAGTGGAAGAGAGAACAATGACCTGTCACTGGTAGAACACTCTTGACCAAACAGCTAGGGCTCAGTGGAATGAATGTGCTACAGATAACTGACTCCAAGTCTGTAAACAGAGACTGACAGTCTGGAGTCACATGTTGTAGAAAGGTCCATTCTTTCT